TTATGACCGAGTTGCGAAAACAAGGTCAAACAACTTCTATTCAACGGAAGGAGACTGCGACCGCACAAAAGGCCACACCATCTTGGTCTTTATACCTTCAATCGACACATAGATTGTAATATAGGAAAAAAATGCCTGGCTTGCTTTGAAATTCAAATATCCTCTCTGACCCAAAAGCATTTGTGTCAGTGTGGCGTAGTGTTTAACGTGTCGAGATTATACGCTGCTTTATCACAGTTCGAGTCGCGTTGTGTGTGCTGATGAGACCTAGGCAAAGTCGTAACAGTAATCCACCCCAGCCTGGATGAGAATAGCTTTTTTAGAAATAAATTGAAGTGAATTTGAATGGAAGCATGGAGCGTAATGATAGAATAGTGAAAAAATACAACTGTCCTTGAACATCGTATTCGAGGTAGGGTAACTTGAACTCTTATTCACAGCTATTTGAAACTCAATTGAAGCGTAGGGACTACTCATATCGTAGTGTGAAATTTTTATTATCAGTCCTTCATCATCTCAACGAAATTTGGGTGAATACAGCTCATATATATGATCTGTTCGAAAGCATACTTATAAACGAAAAATATCAACCATAGTGGCAACCTGTAACTTAATAGCACTCACACTTTATTGTGGAAAAAGAATCAGTAAAATTTATGAGTTCTATTACTTTTCCTTGCTTTTTATACATAAACTTTGGCAAAGCAAGAGTAAGGGTGAATAAATCTCATATAAAGCAAGAATAAAACCTTTTAAAAGAATTAACTTGTGATAAAACAAGCTTGACGGATGTCAGAAAAACGATACTCCACTCTAATCTTGTGGTGGAACTCACCTAAAAATCTCTTCATCAAACAGTTTTAAACTAAAGTAAATTCACCACAACGATGCTACTAAGAATATTCACTGAAAACTAGTTGAGCTTGATTGATACCAACTTTTCCACTTCCTAAATGAATCTCCCCATCCTCCTGACAGTGGATACAACTCCGATAGCTTATGGTCGAAAGGTAGAGGGTTATTTTGTGTAGATTTTGGTGTAGCGTTTGCTTCTTGATCGGCAGATACAAGTATCGAATCTTGCCGGAGATGCTGAGGATGTAATGAGGTGAGGTCGAAACTGCCTTCCAGCCTGAAATAGAACGGCTTTCTGGGATGAATGATAAAGTTAAAATTAATGCATAAATCACGCCCAGTGTTCACTTTGTGTTGGGCAGTTATAAGTTCAAAAATACTCTGTCGAAAAAGGCCCAGATAAAGAAAATTCAGGCCCCTGAAAGCTGCGAAGGAAAATATGAATAATATTCACTTTTCTAATTTGCCCCTTCCTCAGAATGGATGTCAATTAACCTTCTATTTCCTACATGTGTCCGTTTTGGCAAAACCCAACCCTGTAGAATCCAAAGATACAACCGCTACTATTCTAATCATTCATTTTGGGAGACACGATGCAATGAACAGTATTCATCTATTATTTAGGCCTATAAACAAAGATATTTTGGGCTGCCAAGTGATGTTAAAGAGGCAAAAGATGGTTGGTAAAGAATTAGCTGTGTTTGCATTATCGTTGAAGATCATTGGGTCAGTACAAGAAATGGCGAGGCTGGTGAAGAGGATAGAGCATTTCATTTCGTATGAAAGTAAATGAAGAAGAGATTCGTTGGTCGATAGCACCAGATGAGGGCGGATGAATCTCGTTGTACTGCAGCCGTTTGGCTTATATGCGATATTAATGTGGATGCAGTCCACAAGACATCCTCCCTCGTTTCGGGTGAAAACGTGCTGAACTTTCGTCCATCATATGATGGACATCATCAGTGCTGGGTGTCATTCATGTAAAAGTCTCACGTTAACACTAGGGCAAGAACACTATCCGGCTCTATCTTACTTCTTAGATAGACTCAATTGGTCCAAAATAAAAATAAAAATTAAAAAACTAGATATATCCATGTATAGTGGTTTAGTGAATTTTCTTTCACACTGGTCCTATTATTTTTGCTCGATTGTATGAGTATGTGTATTTGTGCGTGTTAGCGTCTATATGCAATGCGGTTCAAAAATCAGAGTTGTCAGATGTTTAATCCCATCACCAAGCAGAGAAATTGAGTCACCTTTTCTCTCTTTCAATCTATCAATCAAGCATCAGTAGTTCCTACCCACTTTTCTATTACCGTTCCTCATATTCAACGTAATTTCTAAGCGATTAATTTCAATAGCCTCTCTTATCTTTCTTTTAACCACAGACGTACCATAATCAGCAAACCT